CATACGAGATCTGAAAGTCAAGCACACGGTGCCGAGCGCAGAGTTCCGGACAGTACAGCTCCCAGATGGTGTTGCGCAACTCACTAGGAAGCCGACCAAACTGGGGGAACGAGTCGAGATACGAATCCTGCGTGAGATCGTTGTGCTGATAAATGTCGTCATCTTCATCGCTGGACTCTTCTTCGCTGCCGTCAGCGGCCATGGTATCAAGCAAGCCTCCGCCGTCGGAATCATCGTCGGATTCGGAGGATTCAGCGCCGGATTCATTTTCGCTGGAATCGTCTTGTTCGTTGTGAGGGCGCTCATCGTGAGTCTCATTTTCGCTCTGGTCGGATTGAGATTCGGCCATGTTGGAGGTGTTGCGCGCGTGATTTGAGTGAGAGAGATGGCCTTGACGCGCCCTCGCCGTGCCTGAAAGCTTTGGTGAGAGCTGACGCAGAATGAGATGAGCGCACGTGACTGAGATCTCTTATCACCACGTGATCTTGTCACTGGCATTGGTTTGCGCGTTGCCCACGGCGCGATTAGCTCCGCGCGTGATCATTGTCGATCTTTCAAAGAAATGGAGAAGTCGGCATTGGCATTCTTGAAATATCCGAATTACAGATCCAAAGTTTGTATTTCCCGCCCGGTATTCGTATCGTTTCCCGAGCCCCTCTCCTTTCAACGCGCGGGGCTTTTGAGAGACGTTACTAATCTTAGTGCATCCTCACTACTGCACGACTCTGGCTTTGTCATAGCGCATCCCCATATTTCCCCATCACTAACAATTAATCTCACCAATCGCCATCTCACAAACCCTCCCTGCTCAGCTAGGGCTGCATCTCGATGTCTTGGCGTTCCCCGACATGCCGACTCTGGTATACGGCTTACCTGATGATTATACCACTCAGTGGCACGGCGTAGCGCAGAGCTCCGCTGCTGTACGAGGCTGCGTCTGGCACTTTATTCATCTGTTTTAGTGGACAAGGTTTCGATTGCTAAGAATGTCTGTGTCATTATGCATGCAGCTTTGTGGCTGGATACACCAACCATCACGGTTGTGTCATGGACCTATAAAGACAACTCCTCGTCTTCAATAACAGTCTCATTATCAACTTACTCTCAATTCCATCCATCCAATTAACCTACCATTTAACTCTCACCAAAGAAACACTCAAGAACTCAAAATGTCCAAGATTCTTACCGTTTTCGGCGCCACTGGCAACCAGGGCGGCTCTGTTGTCCGCGCCATTCTCAACGACCCCGCTCTCTCCAAAGAGTTCAAGATTCGTGGCATCACCCGCGATGTCTCCAAGCCCGCCGCTCAAGCTCTCGCCTCAAAGGGTGTTGAAGTCATCGCTGTGAGTTAAAATCGCATTCTCCACCAAAACTCAATCTGACTTGCCAGGCCGACATGAACACCGCTGAGCAAGTCGCTCCCGCTGTCAAGGACGCTCACACTGTCTTCCTCGTCACAAACTACTGGGAGACAAACAGCGGCAACGGCGAGATCGCCCAGGGAAAGGCCGTAGCCGACGCGTGCAAGACTGCTGGTGTGAAGCAGCTCATTTTCTCGTCTCTTCTTGACACCAAGAAAATCAGCAACGGCCGCTTGACTCACATCAAGCATTTTGAGGGCAAGGCCGAGATCGAGGAGTACATCCGACAGATCAACGTCCCCGCCACCTTTGTTCTTCCTGGTTTCTTTGCTTCCAACCTCTTCACTTCGATCAGCAAGAATGAAGATGGTAGCTATGGCTGGGCCCTCCCTGCTAATGGTGACAAGGCTAAGGTCCCTCTCTTTGACGTCAACGCCGACATGGGTAAGCAAATCAGCCACAATAACATGGATAACTATTAACTCTTCCTAGGCAAGTTTGTCAAGGCGGCCATCAAGAACTTCCCCGGAACCATCAACAAGCGCATTTTCGCTGCCACCGACTACTACTCCCCCAACAGAATCATCTCCGAATTCAGCCAAGTCATTGGAAAGCCCGCCACCTTCAACCAAGTTCCCGCCGATGTCTTCGAGTCTTTCCTCCCTGCTCCTATTGCAAAGGAACTGACTGAGAACATGATGCTCTTGGAGGACCCTGGATACTACGGCGATGCTGATCTCAAGGAGAGCCTGGATCTCCTGGATGAGAAGCCTGTCACTTGGAAGGAGTTTGTTGAGCAGAACAGGGCCAAGTGGGAATAAAGAAATAATACAAAAGATAGTATTGAATCATATTTAATAAAGGATTATCCACATCATAAACTACCGAGATAGCTGTAGCGCCGAGGCAGGACCAATGACCAGTGCATCGACATAAACAGCCACATATAATAGTGTGCAGAGTCAAATTAGATATCTGCTGGAACAGTGTGTAGAGAATTGAATAGGTGGTTTAAGTTTTAGAGTACTGCCCAGCGTGATTTTCTTGAGCTTCGACAAACGGTCGACTTTTCTTGTCTAATTTATGAATCTTGGCGACCTTCCTTCCAGTCCTCCCACAAACCTTCCTTTTCCATACGGGCTTGGAAGTGCTTTGCTGTCCAGTCATGGTGACTTCCAGGTGATGTGGTGAAAGTGATCTCATCATGGCCGATTTCAACCTTGATACCATTTCCCGGCAACTCGTTTACGAGCTTCTGAACCTTCTCTTGATTACCAGGAGTCCTAGGCTTTCGGCTAAAAATAATAGTTTCAGGAGAGTCGGGCATGTTTGAAAATATGCTTTGTGGTACTTTAGATCGTGTTTGTGCCTGGAAAGCAATGGTGTTTATTGCTGCGTTTACTGATCTGTTCGACAGGCGTGGTTTGATTTGGACAGAATGGAAATCTGGAATATTTATACCTACTACCAGAGACCGGTTCTGCTCGAGACTGGCTCTGTCACTGATGTTCTGCTACGGCCTACCGATATTCACTGGCCGATCAGAAAGTCCTGATACGGAGACAAGTGCGAGTCTCTGATTCTGGGACATGTCAATTCGGGGAGAGTGACAATGATCTGAAAAGAAACGTACAGCTTTTCACGTCACCCATGGCGGACTGGGAAGACCTGAGACAAACTGAGTTTTCGGAAACGTTTGCCGGTGAATGATGATCTCACCACTGTGAACAGAAAGTGATTTAGTCAATGTCATAATCTCTCCTAAACGGGGTACCGCGAATAAGGCATTGTGAGCTGAAAGAATGAGCTTGACTGTAGAATAATTCAGCCAAAGCTCTATAACCGACCCTACCTTCACCGTTTAGGCAATCGATGGATTGATAGATAGCTAAACGTTTTAACATATTAGCGCAATGTATCATGTCATTTTGGTATTGGCAACGACGTCAGAGCGACAGATCAGTACTCTAGCTTGGTGGGATTACTCGAGTTGAGCATAGAAAGAGTCTCAAGTCTGCATATAAGCCCAATGTGTTATTCATAGTCAAGACTCATGGCTAAGAGATTATTATTATAGAAAACTTAACGTTTATTCCTATATTTAGATTATAAATTAAAGTTTCAAAACTCATTACTTAAAATACTCTTATTATTTTAATTTCTAAATTATTCTTAAATTGCTATTTATTTAATTTCTACTTAAAGTCTAACAAGCCAGATTCTGGGCAAACACTAAGTGTAATAGCGACTCCGCGTGGGGAACCATGTGACCTGGATAAATCGCACATGCTTTGATGTGCCTATGTGCTAATGGAAGAGAATGACTCCAATACTGGTTTGGTTCTAGCTGAAACGAGCAAAGAAACACAGCAAGATCGTTTAGAATTGGTACTGGCTGAGAATCCATATAAGGCATTATCTTGCGAATTGTGTGAAACGACTAGGTGCTTGATAAAGTAACTTGAAGTAGCCAATAATAGATACCGCGCTGATGCTGCGTTCGGGAGAATTACTAGTTGTGTAACTTCTCAAGTCACCCTCGTGGCAGAGTCCTATTGGTATACTGGATGCTGAAATACAAAGGGACGACCAGAACTGTGCAACCACACAGATGTTCTTAAAGTCTTGTTAATTCCTCTCATGGAAAGTAGATTTTCAACCCAAGCTCACACGACGAACCTTTTACTATAGTCCTGACAGAGTTTTGCTGTTGCACTGTTTTTGGTCTAACTATATTGAACTAACGCCTCGCGCTTCAAACACACAGGACGTGGGTCTTTGGAAGTTTGCCTCCACCATTCAAATTAAAGAGAATTACATATCAAGAGCACGGAGTATGGATGGAAACAGAGGGACTGCGAAGGTCGAGCTTTTCTGTTCAAGGTTGAGCCAAGTCAACAGTAAAGGTCAGTATGTCCTCGGTAGTTGCACCGACTTGCTGCTGTTACAAGCGTTGGTTATTTCAGTGATTCGAGTAGTATTGATGATGTATGGATAGTTCAAGACCCCAATGAACGATTATTGTCTCGAACAGGTGGCTCCTACTGGCAAAGTCAAGATCTTTGTACACAATGTCAATCCATCGATCCGACCCAGATATGTTCGGAGGGCAGTTTTTACGGAACTGGCGGGAATGACGTCTCGCTACATATCTCCGATACTTCAGCATGTCCTTCATGTCGTTTCCTCGCCTCACAGTTGCACCGCAGGGATAAAGCTGTCAGATCGGGGGATCCGGTAATAGTACAGCTGAACAGGTCGATTTTGAATGGAATCGATCACGTTGTTATACAACACAACAACAAACTGGAGTACATCCTACAGATCACTGATGAGAACCTGCTTCAAAAGCCAGGTAGAATTGGGCAGTATCGGCAAATAGATCCGAGACAGGTTGATTTCAACATCATCAGGAGCTGGATCGCCCATTGTTACCGCACTCATGGTAAATTATGCCAAATGCTTACAGCAAATCCACTGCGGATACCAAGGTTCAGACTACTGGACTGCAAAACCTCGGCTGTGGTGGAACTGGCAGAGTTTGTTGACCATGTTGCACTCAGCTACGTATGGGGTTCTTCGTCTAAGCTACCAGGGGGCGATCAAGGCGTCCTGTCTAAAGCTGTGATCAGAGACGCCATGCACGTTACAATCCAACTCGGATTTCGATATATATGGGTTGATCAACTGTGTATCGACCAGACAAATGCTCAAGACATGAGCTGTCAGTTGGGTCAGATGAATACTATTTGTATGTTCTCTAGACCGCCCTAAACATGAAATTTGAACGGAGGGCTAACGAACTTTCAGATAACCAAGCGAGTATCACCATAATAGCTGCTGCCGGGGAGAGTTCATCGTATGATTTACCTGGTGTCGGGCAACGTTCTCGTACGATTCCAAATAACTTCACCCTCAACGGAACGACATGGAGATACAAGCCCATGTCGTTCAAAAGTCACGTGGGCGCTTCAAAATGGTCAACAAGGGGGTGGACGTACCAAGAAGCAGTCTTCTCACGCAGGTGCGTCATCTTTGCTGATGACCAGGTCTTCTACCAATGTGGATGCATGACTTGCGCCGAGGAATTGATACAAGACTTTGCAATTTGCGAACGTACAGTTTTCCCCATATTTGAGCGGATCTTATACAAAGACTCAGACATAGGCACATATTTACCAAGGAGTTGGAGGTTCATGACAAACTTGGAGGCATACTCCAAGCGTGAACTTACCTACGACTCCGACGTGTTGAGGGCAATGGGGGGTGTTTTTGGCTTCTATGCCCAACTAGAACCATCAGTAGAACAATACTGGGGTCTACCACTACGATGGGTTGGCTGTCAACTCTCCAACCTGGATGAGAAAAATGTTTACTATGCTGCAAAATCGAAGCATAATGATGTCGTGGGTGCTATCCTCTGGGCAATGCTATGGGAGCCAGCGTGGAGTGATATCCACATTCTAAAGACTGGTTTTGTCAGGAGGAATGGTTTTCCGACATGGTCATGGTCCGGCTGGAAGGTCGGAGTAAGATGGAACTTCTTGGAGAATGTCGAACATCTGGAAAAGAGCTTTACAGCGCCCCTATTTGTGGAAACAACAGCAGGAGGACTTTTGGAACTAAACGACGCGCTTGCACGGTCGCTCACTTCCGGTCAATCCTACGCGAGTTTGGGATTGACCTATATCTTGAGAATAACGGTCAAGGTTTTCGATGTCCCTTTCATTGAACTCGCGCCCTACAGGCCTACGACAAGCTGGGCAAAGAGCGACTCGTTTCCTGCCAGACGCAAAGGCCAGCACTGGGTCACCATGGAAGACCACTCCCTCGAAGGGAAGTGGACTCATTTTGTTGTTCAAAAGAACATCGAGACTTCTGAGAGAGGACTGGTCTGGTCCTTGGATCTCACACATGGCGGTGCAGCCACTAGCTCCGACCTTGTCTTCGACACCGACACCAACGTTAATCCCATGACACTCCGATGTATAGTCATCAGTTACGACTACGGGATGATTGTACAGTGTAGCAGTGGCATCTCTAAGCGAGTCGGGTTGTTGCGCTTTGAAGGAGAGTTCTTCGAGGATGGTCGAATAAATACTGACGAATACGGCCACCACGATGATAGCGTGAAATGGCCATGGACTGACTCTGTGCAGAGCAAAGACTTTAGAGACCACTTTCCAGGTGTTGAGCGGACTGTACGTTTAGGCTAGTGAGGAGTTGCTGGTGTGCGCAACCCCTGTGGCAATGTCATTCAACTGAGAGACTTTGTGCACGTCAGTCCAAGCATTTGATTGGAGAAGTGTTATTGGGGTTGGGAATAGTTAGACTTGAACTAATGCAGTCCCTTGGGCTAATGGAGGGGTCACTACGGAGCCAACTCTTAGTGAGACTGCACGACACCGTCTGGATAGAACCCGTCTTGGCAAAAAAGCTTAGCATCAACTAAGTGACGAGATCAGATCATGGCGCACCAAGACTGGCAAGTAGACCATTACGCGTCCCACGGGTCCAACCGCCAGACTAGTTGCAGGCAGCTGAAATATATCTTGCATTGGATTGGCTGCTCCGTAAGCATGCTGAGCTAAATGTGTCGGTGGCTTTGCGCCGTAGGTCTTGACTCTGCGGGATGCGGTTTCCAGTATGGCCCTAAATGATCTGCCACGCGTCAAGTACCACCAGCTAACCTTCACACCCTTATTCCCTTGGTACTGAATACGACAATTGGGCCTTCTGGAAGATGCAGTGTGCATAGCATAGCGTCTCGTTTCAAGGAAGACACCCGTGAGATCAAAGGACTTGGTCTCCAATAGCGACTGCCTTCATCATTTTACTTATCTTGTAAAGGTTTATCAGACTATCAACCATCGATGCTGTACAGAAGTAGGCATGCACGATAGAGTAACACCCTGTCATACAACTTCCCTTACGTATCTCAGCTGTCGATACATACTCGCTGCACTGGCGATGTCATTTGCATTCAGTAGATTGATCCCCTCTTGCACAAGTACTTTCCATACGTAGTCCCTATGCCCTCTTGGCCAATCAGGCAACCCCCATAATCTCGACTTCAAGCTCCGATGCTTTGCGATTCGAAGCTGGTTCCGCAGAGTCTCCATCTGCTGGGTGCTGAAGCCCGTCCGAACACTACCAATCGCCTTGCTGAGAGGGGCAGAGGCGGTATAAAATTCATTTTCCAATTCGTAGGGACCGTAGAACCCGTTGCTTTGGATGAAGCCTGTTTCAGTGAGCAGATCTAAAGGAGCGTCGAGAAAAGTATCATGGCGCTGCTGCCATTCTTCAAGGTCCGTGCCAATGTTTATGTCGCGCCGTTTAATAATGTTTCCTGTGCCTACTATAGTTATGGGTCCAGGCCAGAATGTCCGATTTGTGGCCATGGTTTTGTCGTGCCGAGATAGGTATCTCAAATCGCGCAAAGGTCCTAGTTGCTGAAGAACCAAAGGCCACGTCTTTACTGGATCGTCTTTCACGTCGATGAACAGTATCAACGTTGTATTCGGCTCCGTTACAAAGACACCAGAGGCCTGTGCAGTGGAATCGAAGGCTTCATGTGGCCATGGCCGATTCATTGTGTTCAAGATCTGTAATAGCGGGTCGATATAAAGTGATCGTAGTGTGCGACTCGAGGAGAGTGAGCGTCTGTCATGACCGACGAGAAGGTCCAGTCCATCTGGACTGAGCCATACATCTGCCTCAACACTTGCACAACCTACAGCAAGCGCTGAAAAGAGAGGATGAGGTCTCCAGTAATCATTATGAGAATGACACAATACTGGAGGGACGAGTTGCGACATTTGCGCGCTCCATATTGCAGCATTGTATGTTGAATTTCCACGTCTGAAAAGTCGGTCGCAAAACGTAAACTGTGTCATCTCATACGAATAAAGGGTGTTTGACAAAACGACAGGAAACATTAAGAAGAAAGGCCCTCTATCTCAACTGTTAGCCGCTGTAGGTGTGTTTTGGCCATGATGATTATGACTCGATACAACATACATGATTATTATCGTACAAAAGATGGCGGTAGGCCAAAATCTGATGTGCTTTTGCCGTGACCTTGATGTGTGTTGTTTGCATCGTGTCAGACCGTGTTCGACTTGGCACAAATCGTCGTTTCTCTGTGAGGGAAGTGGTCTGTAATGGTCAAGAACGGCTAGGCGTTTAAGGTGGAAGTAAGAGGAAGCCTTCATGTTGCGTTGTCTTTAGCATATGCAGTGTGAGTCTAGAGGATCTTGGAGCAACTGACTAGAACAGTAATGTAAATTCCCAGTAATACCTTTTGCCCTCCCATTTATTGAACTTTCCAAGAGGCACTTTGGTTTCAAGTGACTCGAATGCTGGACTTTCCATTGTTCTGACGGAGAAAAGACCGGGAGCGGTTCATTTCAGCAAGCCATCAGGTCGGCGTTTCACAAGTGACAAGAGCCTTTCCTATGATGACGCGTCCTCATTTTTCATCGCCAAAATTGCGCTTGGAATTTGTGGCTGCTCCTTTGTTCTAGTCAAGCGTCACTAGAGGCCATGGCGCTTTTTAGACTGAAACTGTGCCTCATGACCCCCGCGTCGCCGTTGGTCTAGCCGCCGAGAGGACGCGCGTTGCCTGAGCACTACCAGGCTTAACACATCGTGTGAAAACCTCAGAGAGGTTTTCTCACCAAAAAACGAGTCAGCAAATTTGGCCTTTTGGAGTTTCTGTGGCTTGACAATGGTTGACGTGTTTGTCATGAGATATATTTACGATTTCGCTAACGCACAAATTACGCTCGAAGTCGAAGGGCGAAAGAGAGACGGTTGGAACAGCAAGACCTCAGAAGATTAAGAATCATATGCTTGTTATGTATGTGTGTAGCCTAAAGTTTAACCTTATCGCCAGCAGTTAGTTGGGTAACTAGTTGCATGGTAGGAAAACTGGAGCAAAGTTCCAACGAGTCTTCCTCTTGCTTAACGGAGCTTGCCTCATAATGTCCATAAGTCAGTACAGGTAACTAAGAATAACTCCATTCACACAGTTCATGCCAAGCTTTTACGCCAAGACGGGTTCTAGATGCATTAGCGTAGCTTTCCTACGTGGTAGAGGCGGGCGGTTACGTAGACTGCGCCACCAGCCAATTTTCGGACGGGGGGAGCGAATATAAAACTCATCCCACCAAGCCTTCGATAGTGTGATCTTATCTTTTTTCGCTATGGTATATAAGCTAGCTTGATAGAGTCAACAGTGGCTGGGGACTCAGCTAATCCTAGCACCACAATTAGGGGGTGTTAGAAAAGTGCCTGACATGAAGATCTGATTTTTTATGGTGAAGGTATATTCCTGCGTCCGTCGTTTTTCGGCACCCCATGGCACAACCATCGGCTAGCACTGATAACAATCCCTCCACACATCACAATACATCGCTAAGAAAGCGCGTATATCACTCAAGCCTGAAGTTGTCGTAATACAACGGGGCGGAGTCGATCAAGATAGCCCCCCTGTAGAAGTCACATCCCTATCCCTAATGGTACTACTCTTCTCAGTCGAAACTAGCGTACTATAGCCAGTCAAAGAGGCATTAGAAAGTCTTTCTTGTTCCTCAGGGATAGTAATGGGATTAAGCATTCGAGGGCTGTTACATATCTCGAGGCACTTGTCAACAGCGTTGTTATTAGCTACCTGCTCTAACTATCCCTTGCTGTCTTGGAGTATGAGCCCTTTGTATCGGAAGACTGAGTGACCAGAATCTTTTCTTGTCGCGGTTTATATCTTTTTCTTTCCTCTTTGATCAATTCGCATTTCTTCTGTTGTCTTCGTTTCGACCATGAAGCACCAATATGTTCTACCTGTTGTGTTCCTCCGCCCATCCCGTCGTATACGGCTTTTGGCCTTTCTATCATTCTTTGTCACAGCAACGTGGATCTTCATAACAAGGTCGTCGATAGCCTGCTCCCAGGAAAGGGATATCGCGAGGGAATATCCACTAGTTTATAGACATATCCATTCATTCAATGGCAGTGGAGGTGGTAAGTCGGACATTCCAACGTGGCACACCCCAAAGAATGCTCGCAACGCTAACACCGAAACTAAGCATGGTATATCCCTCCATATTGGGCTGATACTGAACAACCGCAAAATATTCTCGACGCTGCTCGTATAGTCTCACAGAGCGCTCTACTTAATAGAGAGAGAAGAATACCTTTCTCTAATATCCCACTAATTGTGCATCAAACTTGGAAAACGACGGCAGCCGATACCTGGAGTCCAAGAATACTACCTTGGGTTGAATTGTGGCTGGAGAACTCCATTTATGTTGACCGCGGACCGTCGATGGCATACTTATTTTGGGATGATACAGGAATGCGTGCGTTAGTGGAAGAATTCGAGAATGACTCCCTTGAGCGTTATGACTCCCTCCTGACACCAGTTGAACGGAGTGATGTGTTTCGCATTTTAGTATGCAGGCATTTTGGCGGAATAGTAAGTGTAGTCTGAAAACACTTGCTTTAGAGTTCATTCTAACCAATCTAGTATGGGGATCTCGATACCGAGCTGATACGGCATCCAGCTGCCTGGATAAGCGGATCTGATATGGCTTCCTGGATAGACCCGAAAACAGGAAAGGCCTACGGCTATTATAACACTTCGGTAACACCAGACTATGAAACGCCAGTAGTCAACCTTCTTTGGGGTTTAGAAGCCGATAATGACCCAGAGTCCGATGCATACTGGCGCCAAAGCTATACATACCCCCAACAACTATCGCAATGGGCATTCGCTGCTGCCCCTCAACACCCAGTCTTCGAACGATATATGGATAATCTACGGAATTATACCAAAGATAACGAAACAGCGGCTCAGAATAGTGACCCTCTCAAAAGAACTGGCCCTGCGGCTGTTACTCTTGCAACCAAGTCCTGGCTAGAGGATCATGCGAGCTTTCGATGGGCCAGCTTGACGGGTGTCAAAGATGGGGGCAAGTCTAAGTTGGTTGAAGACATACTGATTCTTCCTATCACCGGCTTTCAGTAAGTTCATTTCTACTCAAGCATAATCTCCCTTTTCACAGACTACTGACGTTGAGAAGTCCAAGTCACGGAAGCCGTAACGACGTTATGGGCAGAAAACCGGTGACAGACCCGGCGGCAAGATTATGCCATCATGGCACAGGATTGTGGAAGCATTTTAATTTCGTGGGAGAGTATGGAAAGGTTTGTCGAAGACTTTTTGGTCTTTGTAGGGATTGGCCAAGGTTAACAGGATAAGGGAGTAGTTGCATAGCTGCTTTCCCGCATATTTTGACATTTATTTCAGACATGATTCTTACAAAAGTCATCATCTCGACAATATTAGCTAGCGGAAACACAAGAATTCTACGATTTCGGGGTTCTGATCCTCACGATCCTATTTTAAGAGAAGAGGATAAAGATTCCAGATAATTATCAGCCAAAGGCAGGAAGTGCGAATTCATTCCATACATAATAATGGTTTTCATATAACAGGTACGATTGCTTGAACAAATACAGAAACGGCGCATTGCAAATAATGTCCTTGCGACATGTCCCCTTCGCTATCACAAGACCGCATGTTGCTAGCTATTTTTATCAGGGCTGATTACGTTTGTGACTGTGGCCAGTAAGAGCGCTTCAATTACGCCAACTACAGTCTTAGTCCCGTGCAAGTAAGACAACCTCTCCAGCTGAAATAAACCCCGCGCGGCGGATCATCACGAACAGGCAGCCAAACCCTCAACTTAATCCTGAGCACAGCAGAAGAACTAAAATGGCCGAAGCCCTCGGTATCGCATCTGGCGCCGCGGGCCTCCTGAGTCTGGCGATAGAAGTCACCAAGCTCAGCTACACGTACATCGCCAGCGTTCGGAGTGCACCTAAATCGTTAACCTCGTACATTGCGGAGCTTACAACGCTCACCTCTGTTCTGCTACAGCTCGAAGACCTCATCCAGGCCAAGAGATTCAACGGCCAGAATGACCAGACTCTCAGCAAGGCTTTACACGACTGTCACCGGGAAGTAGAGCACTTAAAAACAAAACTAGAGAAAAAGCTGTCGTATGGCAAATTCAAGGCCAAGATGGCTGCTTTGGCTTGGCCGTTGTCGGAATCAGAATTGCTGGACAAAGTAAATATGTTGCATCGCTACAATGGCATTTTCTCATCTGCCTTGCAAGCTGATAATTTGTATGATGCCCGGCTGGGAAGTGACTATTGGCTGATTATTTGTCAAGAACAGTGGCAGTCGCGACAAACAAAGAGCTGCGAGACATTAGGCAGAGTAAGTCTTTTTCACAAATGCTTCTATGTATCCAGTGGAGAAGCAGCGATAACGTGTACATATAGGTACCGAAGCAAAAGAAATAATTGCCTGGTATAAGTCCGATGTCGCGATTGAGGCTTCAACCTCTCACCTGGACGATTACTGTCCCTCTACATGGCAGACATTTCTATCGGGCTCTTTCTATCAATCTTGGCGGAGTGGCTCAACACCCGTCGTTTGGGGATATGGACAACGTCAGTTCCTCTCCTCCTCTTGAAGTATGGCTACTGAAGAAATTATAGCTGGTGCTGGGAAGACAGTATTGGCGTAAGAATTCCAGCCTACGGTAACATATGAGTAGGCAACTCGAGGATACTAACTCCATTCATGACAGCGCCCTCGTTCTTCGACATGTCAAGTCTGAAAACTTCCCCGGTGCAACCATTGCCTCACATTTTTTCAGCAGCAGCAGGCCCAAGGAAACTGTAAGCAATTTCCTACGAAGTCTGATCGCCCAAGCGCTCCGTGGCTGCCCTGTCATCCCCCAAGAAGCATCGGCCTTGTATGAAAAAGGTTCCCAAAATCTAATGATGACCGATCTGACGAATGTCCTTGGGGCGATTGCCAAGTCAATGACGACGTGTATCATTCTTGATGCACTTGACGAATGCCCCTTTCTTCCCAAGCTTTTCAACATCCTGTCGACATTGCAGGATCTGGGAGTGAGAATCTTTGCAACAGCTCGGGATCTGCCAAAGATTAGGAAGCATTTCGAGAAGAGGCCAAGGGTGGAAATTTCTGCCACTAGACATGACTTGGATTTCTACGTCAACTACCGATTGGAGCATGGCGAAGTTGACGTTGAGTCAATTGGATCAGAATTGAAGTCAGATATCGTATCTGCAATTGTGAAAAGGGCGGCGGGGTCGTAGGTTCAATCGGTACTATTCTCGGATACTGATAGACTGATGGGTTTGATAGGTTCCTACTTGCTCGGCTCATCATGGATCACATCTCCAGCCTACTGACCATCAAGGACATACGGAAAGCCCTGATCTCGATACCCGCCAATTATGACGAGGCGTACCTAAGCACGTTTGACCGTATAGTCAAGCAAACCCCTAGCCTGAGGGACCTCGCCTTGAAATCATTGAATTTCATTTCTTACGTCAAGGAGCCTTTACGGATGGTCGAATTACAGCACGCCCTCACCGCGGAAGAAGGCATGGCTGAAGTCGACCCTGAGGATCTTCAGCCCGCTAAAGCTATCATCTCATCATGCCTTGGACTGCTTGTGGTTTCGGGACCGGAGAAGATCGTCGAGTTCGTACACTCGACTGCGCGAAACTTTCTCCAGGGTCAGCCTGAAGGGATGGATAAGCGCCCCCATCTGACGATTGTTCGCAGTTGCATCTCGTACATGTCAACAAATGAGATGCGCCAGGGCCGTTGTCTATCCCACGAGGACGCCGCCCAACGTTGTCAAAACCAGCCATTCCTCTATTATGCAGCGAACTTCTATGGCTACCATGCTCAAGAAGTTGAAGATGAATGTATCCACCAGCTTTCGGGGTTTCTAGAGAACGATGTCCTTCGGGAAAGCTCGTGGCAACTCTTGAACTTCAAAGCCCATCTGGATACTTCTGTCTCCGAATCCGTGTTTGAGTCGAGTCCCAAAAATGTCCTGGCTCTACATGTGGCCGCATTCTGGGGTTTTGAAACGTATATTGATCGCACCTTGAGTTACACACGGCAGGGAACTCCGAGTACTCAGAAACAGAATCTAAACAAGAGTGACTCTCACGGATGGACGCCTTTACACTGGGCCGTATCCATGGGCCATAAAAGTATAGTTGAGATTCTTCTCAGATCAGGGGCCAGTCCCGATCTTCCGGATCTTGCAGGATGGACGCCAACATTTTGGGCAGCTTTCAAGGGCCACGCAGATATCATTGAAATGCTCTGGCGCTATGACACAGCCCCGTTTCGATGCGATAATAAAGGACTCACTCCACTTCACTGGGCGGTATCCGCGGGCCAAACCGAAATTATCAAGCGGCTTTTAAATCTCAAGAAACGCTTTGGACAGTACGAAAAGTCGCCAGTACTCTCACTGCCGATACTGGACGACTTGACGGTTGAGAGAGCTCGCGCCATGACTTCCAGGGCAAATGAGAGTCCTTTCAAGTTCTACTCGGAGGGGACAGATATCGAAATGTTTTCTTCCATCTTTAGCGCCCTAAAGCAGAGTTTTCGTGAGAAAGAAGACAAACCTCCGGAAAGGAATGAAGGCTATTATACATTTGATCCATTCCTTTATGGACCCTTTGGAGAGAGCCTCAAGGCTGATCACGGAAGAAGAGCGAGGCCGGATCGCGACTACCAGTGGGGAAAGCCAGATGTTGGATTTATTTACTTTGTAGATCAACTGCTGATTCACGCCACGCGGTCACAGGACTTACCGATCATCAAACTGGCGTTTGATCTCAAGCTTGTGAAAGCGTCTGGGATAGATAGCCTTGCTCTTCTTCACGAAGCGGCAGCAACTGGATGGGTCGAGGGAATGGCTGCTTTGATCGGCCTAGGGGCAGATGTCAACAATGCGGAGAGAAGTTATAAGCAAACACCTTTACACAGAGCTTGTCAAAACCAACGTGAAGGAGCAGTCAAATTGCTCCTGGACATCGACAAGATTGATATCAATGCTCGAGCCAGAAATGGGCGAACACCAATCATGGATCTCTTGACCGCTTCCTATGAAGAGAAAGCGGTCACTATGTATAAGCTACTGGTTTCCAGAGGAGCTTCAATCTCTATTCAAGATGAGGAAGGCAACTCGCTCATGCATTACGCCTTGCGGACCTGCAATGGTACCATCGTGCAAATGTTATGCACCGCCGGACTAAGCATAGAATCTCCAAACAAAAGCGGCCAATTACCGTTGCACTGGATGGCTCAATGGAAGTACTTTGATCTTCGGAAGCCTGTCACACCTGATGAAGTCCAAGATGTGAGGAAAAAGCGAAGAGATTGCATGAAACTTGTCTTCCAGCTCTCAAGTCCTAGCTCTCTGGATTCTATGTGTGATTGGGAAGATGGAGCAACGGTTTCTAGGCAAACGCCTTTGTCACTGGCTTTGAAAAGCCACAATTGGGATCTTATAGCCGAGCTGTTGAAACACATCAAGCAGCCTGCGAACATGAGTTCTTTGCTGGGTAAGCGTAACTGATCCTGGTTTGAGTTGCATATACTGATTGTGCGAGTACAGATCCATATCATAACAGTTTACACGAACTGTGTATGGTGTCAGAGAGACTTCCCTCGGCCTCAATTCCTGAAAACTGTGATCGAACAATGCTATATTACGAGCTACAACCACTTCCCTTTGATGATTGGACTCGCATACTTCGATTGCTTCTCGATGCAGGAGCTAATATCAATACGGTTGATTGGAAAGGGAAAACACCCCTGCAGCTTTGCATACAGAGAACCGCTAGCATCTCTGTTATTGACACCCTACTGAAACTAGGAGCCAGTCCATACGATGCAGGCAAAGACGGGTTAGATTGCTTCCAACTTGCACTTCTCTGTTCCGCCGAAGTAGGGAGTTGGGACATAATGGGCTGTCTTCGAACCTACGCCAACACTCATCCTGATCCAAGACACTATTTCTGCCAGGGAGGGTTTCTCATCGCCGACGATACTCCCATAGACAATGAGCAGACTCGCTACCTTCAGGTCCTCCGCCAGACCAATGCTATCAACTGTGAGACACGGTCGGGTCGTACCCTCATCCACGAAGCCGCCAGTCGAGGAAACACACGCTTGGTACAAAGGTTGCTGGAACATGATGCGTATCCGCATTATATAGATGACTTTGGTAGTTCCGCACTGCATGCAGCGGCCAAGCAGCAAGCTCCGACAACGGTAGCCGTCCTCCTACAGGCTGGAGCAGACGTCCATCACGCTTCTGTGGACGAATATGGCACAACATTTACGGGTACCCCCCTGCATGTTTGTCTCGAGGCCTGCAATGGCTCCAAAATCAAGAGCGAAGCAGTTGAAACAGTTCGCATCTTGCTGAGCTATGGTGCTGACCCAAATTATACAGCCGTCAAGGATGACCATACAGAGACGGGCCTCTCACTCTGTCTCAAGGCACTGTGCCGCTCAGTATACCATCCCAAACTTGACGCAATATCTTCTGAGCAATCAGATCACCTGTTACTAGAGGTACTGAAACTACTGGTTGATGCGGGAGCACGAGTCGCTGAGAGCGCGGATGACATCATAGTTGGTGCTGTTGCGAAAATGCAGGGTTATGAATCTCTGTGGGAGGAAATGAGATCGCAATTAATGCCGCATAGGCTATCAAGTCTAGAGGCTGAGTGATGAAAGGCTAGGCAACTTTCCAGAGATGCTGGATGTGATTATCAGTAATAAGGAGATAGTTGGTGATTTAAAATTCTCTATCCAGGACTTACAAACAGCAAAATCGACATCATCTGAAGATGACTGAGTCAAATATAGTACGACTGGTCTTGCTGCGAGTTGGTGGGGGGCTTTGATGATTTGGCGTTATTCTTGATGTCTATGTTGAGGAGTATGCATGATGTTAGAGAGCTTTCTTGTTGCCTGGGTTGTGTTTTGATGCAGCGCCCCTGTTTGTGAGTAGATGGAATTGGTACTGGTGGAATTTGGTCCTTCTATGGGAACAGATAAATGTTATCATTTATCTAGCGCGAGAGCAGTATGTGTCAAGAAAGGGAACATAGTTCAAGAGCATTCTGGATATGATAGCTAAGTAGTTAAAGTTTTTAACATGCGTGTCTTGTAATTACAACTACCCGCAGTCGATTTATTTCACTTCGGGATTGCGGGACTAACAGTATGATTGGCGATAAAGCATATCTCATATCTCCAGCCTTCAAAGTATGACCTAATTACATTCATCGGCTGGTTTCCTTGTGACACTGCAGCTTTCCAGTAGATGTGAGCAGTGCGGGATATAATAGACCCGAACTGGTTTATTCATCCTAGCTTGATGTAGAGAAAGAAGATATTTTATTACTATTTTAGATAGTTATATGCTATTAATAGTAATATAGTGCGTTTTAGTACTTTTAAGTATCAAGATGAGTTTAACTTTACCAGTACTTACTATATAGGCTGCTCTCTAAGATAACAGAGCTGATAACAATCTTACTCTATAAATCAGCTCATAATACCTACCAGGGAGTGTGGGGCCTATAGGATTTATGCCTCTTATTTACCCCGCATATGATAGCCCGATGCTTCTTTATGCCTCAGCCTAGCTCAGTTCGTCGTACGGCGAAAATTGATATCATTGAAAAAAGAGTACTTTGCATAAGATCTGTACTTACGATTTTAGGGAATAAGACCTCACGCGCGAAGCAGTGAGCCATCATGGGCGATCCGCTCAGTATAGCGTCCGGATTAATCGCCGTTGTCACCGCCACACTGCAATCAAGCAAAATACTCTATGAGACCATCCAAAGCTTCCGAAATCACCAAACTGCAGTATTAGATCTTGTCCGCGAGCTCGAAGGCCTTGGATCAGTTCTCACTTCGCTGCAAGATCATGTCCGTTCCGATGAGACCGCGTTCTTACCGCTCAAAGATCCCCTCTTTCAGTGTCGACAGGCATGTCTAGATTTCCAAATCCTGATCGAGCAGAACAGCAGGCGCACTCGAGCAGAGGCAAGAACAAGCTGGAGAGACTGGGCTAAGTTGATTTACATGAATGGCGATATTACTTCTTTCAAAGAACTCTTGGCCGGTTATAAAGGGACGATAACTATAGCGCTAGTTGACGCCAACTTGTTAGTTGCTCACCCCAAGAGAAGGGTTTTCGCTAACTTGCCTCTGGGCGCTCCTCCAAAGTCACCCTTCAAGTTCTGAATGATTACAAAAACTTGATTTGCGACACTAAACTTGATCTGGAGAAGCATCTGAAAGACATCGACTCCAAATTGCAAGACATTGTATCTCAAGGCGCCACGACCGAAGCTGCTGAAGGCCAAGCCAATCTCCGGAAATTCGAAAGCGAAAAACAAAGTACAGAACGGTGCCTTGAGTATTTGAAACACCTCCTAGATGAAGTCAATGGGATGAGTTTTCAACCCGTTTCTACAGGGTCTGCCTCAAATACTTCTGTCACATCTGTCTCGGCTGGCAACATGACACTTGCTGATTCCCTCACTATTTCCACGCTCAAGACATGCAGCTACAACCTCTCAGACACCATCGACCGCCTCGAATCGCATCGTGATAATACCGAAGAGAATCTCCGACTGAGGTCCTCGGTTCCAGATTCGAATCACAAAATCGATCCTGGTGCGAACCGCGAGACACTTCAAAATGAGCTGGAAAGCACAAAACAGTGCTTGAGTGTGTGTGACCGGGCATCGGAATGGGCGTCCTCCGGAAGGGTTCACGTGGTTGAAGATATCAGCATCGGGAACGATGGAAAACAAATATGCGTGTCTACACTAGGGGACCTATTTAACATCAAAGGAGCTAGGGCCGGTCATGGATCCTTTCAATTCTTTGGGTCTGTTTCAGAGAGTAGTCTGAGCGATGTACTGAGATCCCAGAACCAGCGGCAATATATACGCGATGAAGGCACGGAAGACGAGGGATGTGTAAGTGGAGGATATATACAATCAACAAGATAGTTCTATTCGCTCCTCTGCTGCCTGTCCGCGGCCCTATTGTATGGCTCCCGACCAGCCTCTGCCAGAGACTTTCCTGCGCCATGTTTCTCAAAGCGCGATGCTTCAGCGTATGCGGGTGACTGCCGATTTGTGATGACTTGGCGTTGGTTCAATATCTTGGTAAGCTCTTGTACTGAACTGTCTTCCCAGGAACCAATAACTTGATAAGAGTTGACTCCAGCTCCAACGTCTTTAGCGTCATAGAGGTGGTCTTTTGTCGATACCAAGAGCTGGACGCCGTTGTCTCCGACTTTGATCTCTTGCAAACGATGGGTTGGGCGGCTGCATGATTCGGTCGCGTCCTTGGGTGGCGTTTCCATATCTCGGTCCTCGGGAGCTGACATTTTGTCGGATTGTAGGGTTCAGTATGACGATCAGCGTCAATAAAACTAAACGAGGTGGTATGAGGGAAATTTTATCATTTACCCCGCTATGTAAGATCTAGCACATGACGGCATACAAAACGGTTGTGGGGCCATGACTTTCCTTCATTTAGTTTTAATAGGTGCTAAGATATTTTTTAATGAATACCTTAATATTAATAATAATTTTATTAAATTAAACTTATAAAATTATTAATTAAGATAGTACTTTTAAAGTTACTTTTATTATAATTAATACTTAACCTAAGTAAGTACTTAAAGTTCATAAGGAGCGTTATCCCTTAATCTGATTCCCTATAGTTCCCAAGACGGGATTCAGTAATATTCCATTAGCAAAAGAAGTGATCGTGAAAGTATGGAGACGTCTGGATCGCCAGGCGGGTGATAAATGCGAGTCAATTAACCTAGGACCGATGAATTAGAGGGTTTCGATGAAATAGGCCGGTCAATCTATCATGCCAACGTGATCATATGCATGAAATTGACCTGCCGCAATGCATTATCTCGCCGTTATGTGAGGACTAAGCTCCGTAACTACGTTGAGAGTATGTTATTACTGAAAGGTCCATATAAAGATAAAGACTAATAGATATTGAGATACAAGAAGACAAAGTATATTTGAAATGCGGTTTATCCGAGATGCAGTCATGCAATTGGGGTAGCCTTGACGGGGGGGCAGATCTTGTTGATCTGATTGCTGTTACACGTTGGTGAGTCATTGTGGTCGATGAAAAATGCCTCAAGATCGAAGAAGCAAACAGGAATGCCATTAAAACCCAGGTTGTCCACGACGAGCTGCTTTTCGGCGCTGAGAGCACAGTCAAGGATGGCACGATAGTACGAATCGCGATTTCCGAGGTTATACTTGGCCATGTTCGTGTAGACATCCTCTTTAGCTTCATCCCACGACTCACCCCAGTTACCACCGAAAGGCTTGTAACGCATGATGTAGAAGCAGTACTCCTCCCCATCTCGAAGGGCCATCCACTGGCGGCCGGTAGCATAGCCACAGTCCTCTCGGCTATGAACCCTCTTGTCGGCTATAAGGCGAAGGTTGGCAGCTTTCATGACGTTATTTGCAATCTTGGGTTTGATGCTCTCGGTGACGGACTTGATGGCATCATCCACGGCAATGCTGTCCTCATTAAGGAGGAACCATCCTGTGCTGAAGAACTTGGCAACCGGTGACTTATACCAGTCGTCGTCGGGCTTCGGGTTGGGCAGAGCTTTGAAATCGTCGATACTGTTGGCGCTGCCGACGGCAAGCTTGAGAGTCGCGTCGATTTGGTTTGCGGAGGCGACGAATAGCTCGACCAGGGCACTGGAGATGGAAGACGTGTCGATTTCTTCTGGGGCGGTCTTGTCGGCCACGGCACTAAAGATGCCGCCCAAGATGCCGGCACCACTCGATATATAAGGTCCCTGTCTGAGTTAGTCCTCAGTCCACAACTCAACGTTAATTCAGTCGACGTACAGCTACAGGGACGTTACCCCCCAAGGTTCCGCCAAACCCAACTGCGGCAGCAAGCCACTTCAAGACATCAGACGTCTGATCTTCTTTGCCTTGAAAGTCGTCGACCATGGTGGAAATAGAGAATCCGGCGACCATGGTTTCGGAAGTGAGTTTCTCTTTCAGCATCCTGAACTTGGCCTGCATGCCTTCGACAGCTTGGAAGATCCAGTAAGACGTCTTTCCAAGGATGTGCTCGTTGCCATCCTTGTCCGTGCCGTACTTGTTGAACTGGTCCTCACAGTTCATGCCGCCGAGAGGACGGCACTCGCCTTCGGCAGTGCCACAGCCCCCAACAGTTGGGCCTCCACTCACGCCCCCAACGACGTTGTCTTCGAGGTTCAGCAGCCAGTTAAGCTCATGTTCTGCGGCTGTCAGCCTCAATTTCAATGCTAAATCAGACGAGTTGATACATACCCCAGCTTTGAGCAATGAAAACGTCGAGTTCATTGCCAGCGGCGGTGTTTTCCCAAACGCTGGCAGCACCTGCAGAATCCCTGAGAAGTCCTGCTTGATTATTGCAGAAAGTTTCAACATTGTCCCAAATATGGGTATTCTCGTCCTGTCGCTTTTGAACAGGAGAGGTGTGTACGGCAGCCGTGACGACCAATAGAGTGACAGTGGACTTCATTGCACAGAATGAAAGGTAAGGATTTTAAGAATAAGAGAAATTGAATGAGAGAGTGAACGAGTGAATGATAATTATTATTCAGGATTATATGAACTCTTTATATATATTTTCATCCGTTTGCTGAAATTACAGCATCATGCTAGCCCTGGTACATGCTGAATATGCCTTGCAGGATCAAACAGGTACATCACTCACAATTAAAGTGTCGTTTAGATAAGTGGCGGTTAGATAAGCATCAATCCATTTTACATGGGCAGATAAGCTTTTTCGGGGCTACGATCTACAACAACAATAATCCCATTAAGATTGTCGTGCTGATCTGAAGGATTCGCACAGCCTCAGCCGTCCCTGGCAATTAATGATACGAGCTTGTGGCCCATGGTCAGCCTTGGACAAAGTGGTATTCGCATTTTACGCTTAGATTAACCTTAAGTACTGATTTGATCGCGCTTGTAGATGAAACATGCACTCCTAAATCTACCCTATCACGACATCATCTCATGGTTACATTACTAACAACATATAGTTGGACTTTTTGTTGGCGCCGCATCCTTCGAATCTTTGGGCATGCGGCTGACACGACCTGCCCAAGCTGAGGCTACGCATTCGGCAGTTGAATAGATGTCTCTTGGTCACGAGGATTGGCCTAATCTTAAGATCTGTAGGGGCAGTGCAAAAATGCCAAAGCAGCAGAGGTATGTCATTTTCAATTATGGAAGATCTCGACGTCGCGTAGATAGCCCAAGGGCTAGATATGAAACCCGCCAAGTTTTCTTTTGAATATTTAAGGATAAAGAGCTTGACTTACAATGTAGTGCCTTGATATAATACGATCCTCTTCGAGCATGGAATTTTGAGTCTCGAAACATTCTCGATGATAAGGCAGCGATCATCAATTCGATTTTGTTTGGCGGCAATTACGCCCAGTACTCAGGACACTGGCATACAGCAGTGACTCCTTTTCTGTACATACATTAAAAAGCAAAGCCAAGTGTCTTTGAACAGTTGGAAAAGCAGGAGGTTTCTCAAATACCAGCCTGTTGGCAACTAGAATCATAATAGATCCCACGCTAAATTTACTAAGACTTATACAAGATTTGAAGGCGCAGATAAATTGAGATTTGACTCACGGGAGGAGGAGAGTATTCTGGAAATCACATTTTCTTGTGCTGTCGAACATGCCCAGTCTCACTGTATTCTGAATAGTCATCCCATACATATTCTAAAGGAGGAAATGGAAAAAGTGAAGAACTCTTAGTGCTAGAAATATTAGAGATATTCAAGATGGGTATACAAATATAAATCCTTCTCAATCACCTATATATTACATTCAGTCAATTGACATTATTCAGTTTGCGACAGGGCCCGTGTTGGGGAATATGCTCGAAGTGTCAGTCGCAACATTTTCAGTATTTTGATCGACATGGATTCGAGAACCTGGCATTGTTCCTTGTGAAACAGTACTGAAAGGTCTTTTGGGCTGTCGCAGAATTACAGGTTCGACGTCTTATTGCGAGTGAAAGAAGTGACAAGCTGCTAGAGCCAGGCTGGTTCACGCTCCATGAGCCACAGATGTTCAGTGTTAGAACTGCAGCTCTGCCATACTCACTGTCTATGGCCACCGATGGAATTAATATTCACAGAGAAGGTCTCTGGAACAGGTATTTAAGTTTGAGTACGCTCTACTTCCCAAGAGCATCAACTTGACCCTTTGCAAGAGACAAATCAACTACCAAAGACGAATACCTCACAAGACCGTAACCTGTAACATCCACGAAATGCCCAAATCGCCAGAGACCAATGTTTTCACACGAACGGGGAATAGAGCGGGCAATCAGGAAATGGCTGAGAAGCTGGCATTGCAGTGGAAGGGGAACGGGGTCGAAATTACGGTCGGTCCCAAAAGGATCACCTTTATCACGCCCCCTGAGCTTCAGAAGTCAGGCGAACTTTCAAGAAAGAACTTTCGAGCGCAGATGGAAAAGGATGGTTTGTGGGAAGATTGGAAAGATGGAGTTTGACAAACTCTATTGAGACACTTTGACATTCAAATAAAAACTTGCCAGCTCTTACATCCTGAATCTGTCTACTAAATATTCAGCTTATAGTAGAGCAACATTAAAAGAATACATTCCTTACTAGAAAGGACTCCGCGAGGCAGTGACCTAGTCTTGTCTGGTGTATTTGTTTTCCTGAGGTCACCATTCATACATTGAAGATGCTGGTTACTTGCGGCTATGCAGATCACATAGTCGCCAATACTTCACATCTGAGCAACAGCGATGTAAAATTGTACCATCAAGTTATCCAGACGTCCGAAAACAGCCCTACTCGATATGAGCGTGGAGTCAAACCACAAGGCCATGCAGATCGATCAGGGTATGGTCCATAATATCAGGGCTAACAGCGACGGGACCCTGACAACCTACTCTGCGGAAGATGCTCCCGTGCTGAGCATCTCAATCATCATGCTGGATCCGGTGACCTCCAATCCTAGAAGTAGCTAGGGTAATATCCAGTGAGTTAAGGACTCTAATGTATCATAGGAGAGCACCGTCTGTTGCTTACAATAAACCATAAAGTACTCTACAAAATCTTCACAAATGATATAAATAATCACAAAAGAATTATCTTTAGCATGATAAGATACGAGTGTTCTTTTGAGTTGCCAGAACCGAGAGTTGGCTTATATCTCACGTCGTCCCTATGCTAGGTCAGTTTCGTTCTGTTGCTGCCAACTCAATTGCGCAACGTCCACCTCAAGACCCCGAGAACATGCTTAAGCCGGCTTCCAGAGTCATAAGAAGCAGGATCCGCAGCATCTAGTGCCTCCTCGGCGGTATCCGGAAGGATGATCACTCTCTGGTTGACATATCTCTTCACCTGCTTTGCGATCTGCCCGGTCACTGTAACATCCCTGTCCCAGCCATTAGCTAGCAACGCACCCCATGGGCCAAGGTCGAGACATGTGCCGTATCCAGGCTGAGAATACGGTAGGGTTGATTCGCCGAGGAGGTCTGCTGCTGCGTTGTGGCCTGAGAAACGGCCTAGGACGACGGCGTGTTGGCAGGAGGGCATGGTGACATTGCCTTTTTTATCAGTGGTGGCATGGGCAGCGTCGCCAGTGGCAAAGACGTGAGGACAACCGGGGACGCGGAGATCTTGGTCGACGTAAAGTCGGGAGAGCGTATCCTTCTTCCCGAGAATTTGCTGAGTCAGGGACGTCGCTCGTACGCCAGCGGTCCAAATCACATTCATCGATTCAATCCGCTCTCCAGACGAAAGATTTACTCCGCTTGAGTCAAGCGAAGTAATAGAAGCACCGAGCTTGAGTTCAACACCAAGGCTTTCAAGGGCTTTCATTATGGTAGGACGAGGACCTTCCCCCAGCTCGGGACCGACAACTGGAGCACTCTCAACGAGAACAACGCGGGGGTTCTCAATATGCTTGAGCATATTTGGCAGCTCTGTCGCAATCTCCACGCCAGTGAAGCCACCACCGCACACAACCACGGTGTTGCGGGCCTTGCTGACGGGGAGGGATGCCAGATTCTTGATATGAGATTCAAGTTTGGAAGCAGCTGCAATTGAATCAATGTCAAACGCATGCTCATCAAGACCGATGACACTCTTAGGTCGCACAACTGCGCTTCCCGCTGCAAGGACGAGCCGATCGTAAGAAACAACAGATTCATCGCCAGATGGAGACCTGACCTGGACAGTCTGCGAGTTTGTATCGATTGTCTCGACGGTGCCTTGCAAGAACCGAATACGGGCAGATGTGAAAAGAGGTCCGAGGGGTTGCTTCATAGTCGAGGGATTAGGCTCGTATAGACGTGGGCGGAGAGTGAGCGATGGTTCGGGGGAAATGACGAGAACTTGAATGTCCTGCTCTTTGTTCTTGATGTTGATGAGACGTTGGGCCGAGAAGGCGCTCCAGACTCCGGCAAAGCCAGTACCTATAATTACAATTCTGGTTGACATATTGAATATATAATTGATACTGGGATGTATTTATAAAAAGAAGAGTTGGGCTGGGTCTAGCTGTAAAGTTACTTATGTTAATATTCTTATCAACGTAACCTCTCTGGCATCTTTATATAAACAGATTGTAACCTTTATTTCACTATGTAAGAAGGATTCCCCGATTAATCATTCATTATCCTCACGGTTTCCCCTGGACATCACAGCCGGTTTTCAGGATTGCGGATACCCGGCCTCCGAAACGGTTACCCGAATACCCGTATGCTCCTCCACCACGACTCCCGACAAACGAATGGGCACTAAAGTTGAATTGGCTAAGTTAATTCATAGATATTTCTTTCCTTCTCAGACTTTTCCATTAAATGGCCTGCAGCAAAGACATACAACCTGACTACATTGCGCTCCCCAAGGCCATGGATAACAACATTCTCTTTGATATAGAGCTTTTCGATAGTAGCGAATGGCATGATCACTTTATTGTCATTTTTCTTAAGTAGAGAATGAACAATCAAACTAGTTATATCTAGGTTGGGCAATTGCAGAGCTGGTGTTGCGTGCATACTTATTGTTGTCGTCCATTCTGTGTTATCCATTTCAAGTTAGCGGGTTGTTCCCTTGTTATTACCGCTTACAGATGCCGATGATGTGAGATTCGGCGCTGTAACCCCGCGCTGGGGGCGGGGATCGCCAACAAGGTTGTTACGGAGCTTAGTCAGGGCCCGAGACGAAGTACATATAACTTCTTGATTATTGTCTTTACTAACTGCGATCGATCATGATTAAATACCAGTCGATAGCAAATTCAAGCTCCACTGTACTGTCAGAGACTCCAACCAGACCCTTTACTATCATGGACTCATTTTCTTCAGGTCGACCTTTTGACAAGGCATGTTATTACCTACATGTCCTCCGAAACCTTTGCTGACATCACATCGTACAGATCATTATTGTCGGTGCAGGCCCTTCAGGTCTACTTTTGGCTCTTCTTCTTGCCCAGAAAAACATCCCCTCTGTGGTTCTAGAGTCATGGCCGCATCTCGATACGCGTCTACGAGCAACTCAGTATGGAGTCCCCGCCACCCGTGTCTTCCGTCGCGCGGGCATCCTTGAAGATATTCGCAAAGCCAGTATCGCGAAGTTCCCAAGCATTTGTTGGAGACGTGTCTCACATCATGAGAAGTTGATTAGTCTTGATCTATCACTTGTTGAGGATGATCCCGATCGCATGACAATCTTACCCCTTGGCGAGATCATACAAATTCTGTACCGACATTGTCTTGAGAGAGGAGAGGGATTGATCGATGTCAGGTTCAATCATGAGGTTACGAATGTCGGTCAAGACGACAAGTCGGCCTATGTTGATGTCAACATCAAAGGCCAAGGCAAGACAGAGACAGAGAGACTCGCTGCCGACTACGTCGTTGGGTGCGATGGAGCATCCAGTGCCGTGCGGCGCTCGCTTTTCGGTAGAGAATGGCCTGGTCAGACACTACCGTACCGGTTTGTTGTTCAAAACGTTTGTTCTTCACACTGGCAGTCATGTGCAACACTGATGGACAATAGGTTTACTACGATGGCTTCCAAAAGCATAATTGGGATGGCGGAAATTACATGGTCGACAACGATCACTGGGGCCTCATTGCTCGAAGGGGAAAAGGTGGTCTATGGCGCGTCACCTACGGAGATCCAGTCACGGGCCTGACGGACGAAGAGTACCTAGCCCGTCGACCTGCACACATGAAGGCAATGCTCCCAGGACATCCCGACCCGGATGAGTACCGAATCGAACAAACAAATCTGTACAACATACACAATCGTTGTGCTGAGAGCTTCAAGGTCGGGCGCGTGATTCTAGCTGGTGATGCAGCGCATGTCTGCAACCCCATGGGAGGATATGGCTGCATGACTGCCGTCTTGGATGTCGGTGGTCTAGCGGATTGCTTCATCGGGTACTACCACGGACTAGCAGACGAGAATATCCTCGACAAGTATGCAGAGGTCCGGCGGTATATCTTTGTCCGATACGTGGATCCAAGGTCGATCAAGAATCTCAACCGTGTGGCGACATCTGATCCTCAGACTGTTTTGGAAACAGACAAGTTTTTTGGTATCTTGAAGGATCTCCAAAAAGATGACAATGAAATGAGAGCGTTTTTGTTGGTAAGTCTCCTGAATAGCTGTTATAATTTGGCAAAGTTAGTGATGCTGACGTATATGTAGAAAGTGTCCAGTATCGAATATGATTTCACTAAACATTATAAGAGGGATCAGAACGGACTAGTTTTGTGAACGCCTACAGTACAGTAGTATAGTTAACATGCCCATTCCTCTTTTGCCAACCGATCCACCATTTCACCGTATTTGTTCCTCTTGAATAGTGTATTTAGCTACCCGAACTTTAGTACAAACCCACAACACTTACTATACTATACCAATGCGCCATTTTCCAACGAACCCAGTGTCAACTTTCATACTACTAAGGCATCTCGAAAATAGTTCTCAGTTTCCAGCGGATCGAGTTCCCACACCAAAGGCTCGTCTTAGCCCTCTTTGCCCCCCAGGTCCCCAAACTGACTCATCTATCGTTTCAGGCTCTTCAAATATCCACGCTTCTCCTTCAATGATTTGAGTCTGTCCTTAGCAAAGTCCCTCTTGAGATGTAGTGCCTCGGTATCATCGTGAATACGATCTTTCTCGCGTTTTAGCCTTTCTTTCCATGCGTCGATGCGAGAGATAGCCAAGTCTACTCCAGCCAATGTGCTGAGCAGTTCTGGATCCGTCATTTTGTCCATGTCTTCATCCTTGAAAAACAGGGGATCAGACACATCCGCACGAGCTGCCGTCCTCTCTCTCCCCGCTGTGTAATCTCGTGGAGGCTCCACGCTTCCGGTCAAGAGACGTTTCATCCCTTCCTCAGTGCGCATCTCAGACTCTACGTCGAAGATATCCCCGTAGTTCGTGCAGAGCTCAGCCATCGTTGTGTCTGTAGTAGCTACCTCTTGCTTCATAGCCTTCACGGTCCAAGAAATATAATTTAGGTCATACTTGGAGTATGGCCCGGTCCTTCCTCGTGCTTTGAGAATAGTATGCGCGTGCTTTGTGAGAAATGCTACTGTTTTACTTCCAAGTTGGTCGCCCCAAAAGGCCAGGATGCACCACTCGGTTGAAGTTAGTCCGATAGGGTTTTTCAACCCAGACACGACTTTAAGTACGCCGGTGCTCATGGTAGTGCAGCCTTCATCACCAACCTCTTCCAGAGGGTTGTTGACAAAATATCCGACATTCTTGATAAAGAGCGCATCGTTGACCCCGTGCTTCTCAATGAGTGATGTCACCTCAGGATCGTAGCTAATTTTGAAAGCAGAAAACATTGTGAGTCTCTGTGTGAGATGAGGCGTTAGCAAAAAGCATGTGACTTAACTGGTGGATGTAAGGTTGGGACAAGGAATTCGCGTTGGGGAAAGTTAGTGAAGATGGCAGGGTGTGAAGACATTATTTTATAACTTCAGGCTAGATGCTGTATTCTCCGCAACTATCGTACTTCTGTTCTAATGTTCAGGTTCTGGTTGCTGTCCATGGGCGAGAATTTGGGGGAACATTTGTTGGGGCACGACGGAACGGAATACGACATCCGAACAAAGACCAACAAAGTCTTATAGCCCAACAAAGCTCTCTTATAACCCATCTTGCTAATGCGCGTGGCTTTGAACAACAAAACGCCTAGCTATTCACCGACAGTGGTCTCTTGGTGCGCTTGACACGGTGCGCAAATCATCCCATTCTCTTCCTTCATGTTTTCATCTGCAGATTAACCTAAAGCTTCATATGGAGTTCCCGGATCAGTTCGGCGATGCAAACAATGAGATCACAGCTTGTAACTAAACCCTCGACCTGTCAGGACTTTTGGATAAGGCTGGGTTAGTCCACATATACGTGACAGGGGCTCAGTGAGCTCGGCATACGGAGTACAGACTAAGGACAGTAAATGCTTATCCTCACGGTGCAGGGTCGAATCTGCAGAATATTGAATCGAAGAATAAATGCAAATTTGGTTAAGAATGTTACCACAAGTGGATATAGTATTCTTGGGCTGCATTCTGTTTTCGGTAGGTAGTTTTTGAGCTTACCATGCTTTCTTATTCAGAAAAGAGACGGAGTCTCGATGTAACCTCACGGCACTCGTCAAATCCTTTCAAGCATATTGCTACTCCATGGTAGTACACAAAGTAATAACTGTAATAGTGTCATGCCAGGTCTCGGCCGAGACTGGTCTATGGAGACCACTGCCGATGACACCGCTGTATACTCCTCCTAAAATGGCCGTCTCTAGGCGTGCTTACTATGGGGCCAGTATTTGTTGTCAATCTTGTGAATAAGGAAAAGGGAAAGCTATGGAGCTATCTAAGTATATATATTGATCAATATCTCGCCTTGAACTCGAATGATACGCCATCATCTCCTTCATCTCAACTTCAACTGCTCTCTGTTCTAAGCCGATTACAGCTCGACGTAAGTATCGCGATCATTCGGCCCGCTACCAACTTAACTCTAATTTACATATCGAAGACCACCGTCCTGTCTGCTTCATCAAGCTCATCATCAATATGCGTCTCGACATCACCGCCGTCCTCGCCTCCCTGGCCCTAACCGCATCTGCAGACCGCATGGAGGTTTTCACCTCCTGTGGCGGCTTTACATGCAGTAGCAGCGACGCATGGTTCTACACTGACTATGGCACCTATAAGGTTAACGCCAATAAGGGCTGCAGGGGTGCTTCTGTTCCTGCGATGGTTGAATTCTGCGTGGACTGGGATAACAGACATGCTCATTTTAGGTTCTCTGGCCAGGGTAAGCGCTGCATGGTGCAAGACTCGGAGAGCGCTTATGGTTGTGCTGCTACGTGCTACAAGACGACTTGGAGGGAGATTCCCTGCAACTGGCGCATGATCTTTGAGGAAGATCCTGTTACTGAGATTGCGTCTTCGGCTTTTGTCACTATGACAAAGGCGGCTGGAAACTAAGAGAAGGTTTGTCTCGGACGTTGCGGGCTGTTGCAGTTATTGAAAGGGTTGTTATTTTTCTCCTCGTAGATATATCGTTTACCTAAAGGAGAATTAGTCCACTAGGCTGATTTAAAATCTAGCGTACTCATTTTCTATTAATTCTTATATGGACTGAGGTCAGAAGACAAATTCTGAATTGTGTAGGTTATCATGACTCGTAGGTGACGATAAACTTTAGGCCGCAAATAGAATGACTTTGATCTTAAGCCACTTTCGGTCGTTTAGTCCAGCTAGGAATAGTGCAGGTGTCGACTGTTTAGCAATTTACGAATTCCAGTCTTGTGACAACTTTGTGTTTCCCATGACACTCTGATGTTGTGCCACAGTAGTAAATCCTGTACCCTCGTGTATAATTCGATGCCTCGACTTGGTAGTTTTTCAACACTTAGGTTTAAATGGCGAATTGCCAATTTACTATTTGACACTCTGGACCAATTTGGTAATCCCGTGTAGCAGGATGCAAATCCTTACCAGACGATGATCGTGGCTGGCCTAGCGCGTTTTGGGTGACGTATGTATTGAGGCTTATTCATCGTATGGAGACGAACATACGAGAAACCATGTCGCCCCTAAATGCAAGGGGTTATTCTCTTTTTCCTGTCTCTTCATCCTATTATTCGACATTTGTGTTTATTCTTGACGATGAACTCTTCCTGGGAGAAATGCGCGACTGAATTCGATCCTGACCCAGACATCGCCGGAATTGGTGTAAGTGCTGACGACGCTGGAGTCCAATTGAGCTGACGATAAAAGGTCGTCACCGCTTTCATTACTGCCTCATGCTTGGCAATTCTCAGTATAAGCCTGTATCTTGCCATTGCGAGATCCGGGTTGAATATCATTGAGGCTCCGAGTGTGAGACCACCACCTCGTTTTGGCTTTGTAGAATCTGTCAATCCGATTGATGAGTGGGTACGAAGAAATATTTCGGATCATTTTGTCAAATTTCTTGTCAGATCGAGGTGGATCAGAGCGCATATTAACCACCTGAAGCGCGGTCTCTACTCATTCGTGATAACTCTCGCTGATACACAGCTTGTCACTGGCATGGCCATCTTGTGTACAGCGACTCTTCAGCTACACAGAGAAGAGATATCGGTTTATCATTTCATGACGGCGACTAACCTTGCATGGCTCACAAGCGGTGTACACATACTAACGCTCTATGCGATTCGCGTTGAAACGAACGGAGGACTGGGCAATAACCCTATTCATTACCATTCAGACAACCGGCACTATCTCCGGAAAGCTGCGGTAACTTCGTCTTTGGGCGCAGACATGGTATGTCGAATTTGCGCCATGCTTATTCTTGCCGCCTTATTGTTATACTGCACTTTCATTACCGGGGCTGGAGGATGGGACAATTACGATGAACGGAAAGCGAATTGTGCAATCGGAATGAAAAAGTCAGGAAGTCCTCTCTCATGGCTTATCGCGAGTTATGTCCTGCTCATTCAAGGGTATACAATCCAGTGTCTGTCATTATGGCCCGCGGTCTCGATATGGTGGATGAACCGGATGAAGAATATCGGTTCCGATGACAGAGTCTTGGGAGCACCAAAGAATGAACAGAAACGTCGCTGGTTGCGGTTGATATTTATGTCATTGTATTATGCATTGAACTCGGAAGCACTGGGCGTTCTTCTTTTTGATGGGGTGCTGTGGTTTGGTCTTGGAGTTTGGTGGATTCAGGCGGAGAGAATATATGTACTTGGTGCCTGGGAAGGGATGGAGTCTGAGAGCGACATTGAGGGCGTTAGTCAGCTGCTGTGCCTCCTCATACTGGTGGTCCCGTTTCTCCAGGCATTGCGCACGTATCACGGTGAGTCGCCGCTAAGCCCGTAAGGGAATCGTTTAGGAACACTGGCTGACGTGTGCGTTGTTATTTAGAGTATTCCAGAACACTTCCTCGAGAGCTTGGCATGTTCGATGGTCAAGGTGCTTATGATAGTGGACAGACATCGCAGGAAGTATTGGGTCGTGGTCATGACATGGACAGCGATGGCACAGGAGCTCCGATTCGTTTGGGATCCGTCACTCGTACAGCTTATCCAGTATAGACTAAACACTATCCAAAGGCTTGATTCAATTACGAGACAGGGGTCGCGTAGGAGCTATCTGTGGGTTAGACACTAAAGAACTTGGTCGAGTTACGCAGACTCTATTGTGGTTGGTCAATCCCAAGCTAAGCTCGTAAACAATACGGCAGAGACCATACACACTCATTCTTTCCATCGATTATGCCTCATCTTTACGACCTTCTTGTTGCGTCAAATAATGACTCTGCCTTGCGCTCACCGGCCTGCCTGATCTAAATGCTGTATGTGACGCGTGTACACTGGATGGGAGCCGCGGAGAAGGAAGCCAACTAAGACAAAGCCTCCAAGGCAGGATGTTTAGTATCATGGCACGGTCGATGGTATACGTCAGCTCACAGAGATCTTTTGTCATGATCTTGGATCCACGACAATATGTCAAGCTTCATGATACGCTTGCTGCGTTTAGACAGAGACAGATACGGAGAGACGTCGCGTCTAGCCTACTCTTTCTCCGATGAAGACTGAGAGTCGGGACATAAGCCAGCGCCTACCTTTGTAGATATTCTCATGTACAAAAACTGTCATGTTGACTGACATGTACTCCATTTCTCAGCCGTTCCGACTTTAGCATTAAGCATAGATCCCGAGGTCTCGGAGTATTGTTTTGAGTAGATGGTCAAGCCTCGCATACCCGTTGGCTCACATTAAGCTTGAATATTGAGTATCCATACAAGTCTCATCATGAAGCAGTATCTCGAACCTTTTACTCGTTGCGCGGGAGCGTACTACCCTGAAGCTATCCAACTCTCCTCTCAGCACACCGCTGTGACATCATGTTCCTGCATGTCACCAGGGATGGGCTAAGGTAGCAGATCAGCCGTTTTCCGGGGCAATACCAAAGCAAACCAATCAAGCAAGCCACGTCGTTCAGACGGGGCGATCAATCGGTATCAAATTGCCGAGAGATTACAACGTCAGCACCAATAAGTCGTTGCACAGGATGAAACAATTGGATCTGAGCCATCGTTAGTGTGTTCTAGACCTCGGCAATTTCCATAAACTGATCCCAACTCTAAACATTGCCTGGATAATACGGCACCACCAACGAACCAACGGTGATCCGCGGAGGGGGCGGAGTCAGCCCTTCTCTCCATACTCCGTCGCCGCGTCATCCTCTAATGTTATGGCATGACTGAAGTCTGACGGTTGGAGGTCTCGTATTTCCTTGCTGCGCGCCACAGCTATTGGGTCCTCCCCTCGATCGGCCCG